CACTTCTTTCTTTCTCTTTTCTTTCGTTCTTTCTTTCTCTCTTCTTTTTTCCCCTTCTTCCTTCCCTCACTCTTCCTTCCTTCCTTTTCTTTTTCCTTCCTTCCCTCCCTCCCATTCTTTTCTTTCTTTCCTTTCTCCTTCCCTCCCTCCCTCCCCCTTTCCATCTTCCCCACCTCCTCTCTCTCCCTCCCTCCTTTCCTTCCTTCCCTCCTTTCCCCTTACACCTCTGCCTCCCCCTCCTGCTTCCCTTCCCCCTCCTCCTTTCATCCCTCCTTCCCTTCTCTCTTTCCTTCCTTCCTTTCTCCCTTCCTGGCCTTCTCCAAAGCACAGACAGTCCCCACTTAGTGACCGTTTTGAAGTGGCGACCTACCTGAGAAAGGGGAGTGCCTGGAGGTAGAGACGGGTGCCTGGGCAGGTGGGACTCCGGAAGAGGCACCTGAGCTCCAGCACCTGGAGACACCCTAACCCCCCCCACCCCAAGCAGGCGTGGCCTGTCCTGACCGGCCCTTCTCTCTGCCCCACAGCTGAAGCAGATGGAGCTACAGGTGGAGGAGGCCTACGAGGAGAGGCAGAAGGTGCTACGGGAGAAGAGAGAGCTGGAGAACAAGCTGGTGGCCGTCAACGACCAGGTAGGCCTCGTCAGGCGCGAGCGGCGGGAGAGCCTCCCCTGGGCCGCCCGAACGAGCCGCTTCATTGCCTGGTGCCTCTTCTACAGGAATCTCCCCGAGCGGGAAAGGCAAAAATAATACGTCTCACTTGTGTTTACGCAACGATTCCAAGCTACTTCCCCGCGTGACCCCTCCCCTCCCAGGGGATGGGATTGAAAAAAAAATCCCAGCAACCGGTTCGCTGCCCGGTGGCTGGGTGGGCGGGACCAGCTTACGGTGGGCCTCCTGAGTCCGGGAGAGGCTGTTTACGCCCTCCCAATGGTCCGGAAGCCTGTCCCCGGGGCTTCCGGGAGGGTGAAAACAGCCTCCCCGGGCTCCGGAGGCCCCTCTGGAAGCCGGAAACAAGGCCATGGACAGACTTCCGGAAGGCCCATTTCTCACCTCCCCCACCCTCAGAGTCTTCGTGCCGATCCTGCACTTTACCTGCATCGAAAACGGGCGACGTGGAGGCTTCTGGGAGGGGTGGGGGCCAGCCCGTCATTCGAAACACCACTTCAGCGAACCCGCTGTTACATTTAACAACCGGTTCACCGAAACCGGTGCGAACCGGTAGAATTCCACTCCTGCCCCCTCCTTCCTCCCCCCCCAAATGGGACGGTTGCTCTCCGGCGCCCTGCCGGGGGGGGGGCGGGGGGGGTCCTCCAGGGACCGATCCAGGCCTCCCACCCCTTCTCTGCTTCCTTCCCTCCTTCCAGGTCAGCCAGCGGGACGTTGAAGCGGAGAAGCGGCTGCGGAAGGACCTCAAGCGCACCAAGGCCCTCCTGGCGGATGCCCAGGTGATGCTCGACCACCTGAAGAACAACGCGCCCAGCAAGCGGGAGATTGCCCAGCTGAAGAACCAGGTGAAGGCCCCCGGGGCCGAACCCTCGAAAAGGGGAGGGGGGGGTTTCTGTGAGGAGGTCTTCACCCTGGGGGCCGTGGCGGTCTCCGAGGGGCTTCTCAACGTCTTCTCTGAAAGTGTTTTGCTTCTCATCCCAGAAGCGTCTTAGATTCTTTAGGGGGGGGGGGGGGGGGGGGGGGGGGGAAAGAAAAAGAAGGGGGGGGAGGGAAGGGGGGGGGGAAGGGAGGAAGGAAGAGAGGGGAAGGGGGAGGAAGGGAAGGGAGGAAGAAACGGAAGGAAGGAAGTTGGGAAAGAAGGAGAAGGGAAGGAGGGAGGGAAGGAAGCAAAAGGAAAGAAGATGGGAAAGAGAAGGAAAGAAGGAAGCAGGGGGAAGGAAGAAAGAAGGGATGGAAGGAAGCAAAATGAAGGAAGCAAGATGGGAAGGGAGGGGGGGAAAGGAAGGAAGGAAGGAAGGAAGGAAGGAAGATGGGAAGGAAGGAGAAGAGAGGAAGGGAAGGAAGCAAAAGGAAGGGAGGGAGGAAAGGAAAGAAGATGGGAAAGAAGGGAGGGAAGGAAGGAAGGAGGAAGAAACGGAAGGAAGGAAAGAAGGGAAAAAATGGAAGGAAAGAAGCGAAGGGAGGGAAGGAGGAAGGGAAGAGGAAGGAAGAAATGGAAGGAAAGAAGGGGAAGAAGAAAGGAAGGAAAGAAGTGAAGAAGAGAAGGGAGGAAAGAGGGAGAAAGAAATGGAAGGAAAGAAGCAAAGGGAGGGAAGGAGGAAGGAAAGAGGGAGAAAGAAATGGAAGGAAAGAAGTGGAAGAAGACAGGAAGGAAAGAAGTGAAGAAGAGAAGGGAGGAAAGAGGGAGAAAGAAATGGAAGGAAAGATCGGGAAGAAGGAACGAAGGGACTCCGAAGAACTGTAGAAGCTTCCTGGATGAGAAGCGAAACATTTTCAAGCAAAAAAAGATCCCAAGGAAGCCCATTTGCCTCACGAGGGGCCCTCAAGAGCAGAGCTGACCCTGAGCCTTGAAGGGCGGGGGGGGAGGGGGGATTCCTAGCCCCTCTGACCGTCCCTTTTCCACGGGGGTCTCTCTCTCTCTCTCTCTCTCTTTCTCTCTGCAGCTGGAAGAGTCGGAGTTCACCTGCTCGGCCGCCGTCAAAGCCCGCAAATCCATGGAAGTGGAGATTGAGGATTTGCATCTCCAGATTGAGGACTTCTCCAAAGCCAAAGGAGCGGTAGGCAAACGCCCCTCCCCCAGGGCCCCAGACTCAGTTTCCCCCCCGTGGAATCGAGACCCTTACTAGACAATCCATTCCAGAGGTGGTATTCAGCCAGTTCGGATCGGTTCTGGCGTACCGGTTGTGGAAATTTTGACCAGTTCAGAGAACCGGCAAATATCACTTCTGATTAGACCTGCCCCCGCCATTACCTGTCCTATATTTCCTTGTTTTTTTTTTTACCTCAGCTGATTACCGTGCCTCAGCTGAGCTAAAAAACAGTTCAGGAAATTCACTGGCGTTGACAGAAAGTCTGTATGTGAGCCCTGTGTGTGTGAGTGAAGCTCAGCTGATTCGTGTGATTGCTGCGCCTCAAACAGGCAGCTCACCAGCGTTGACAGAGGTCTGTATTTCAGCACTGCATGCGCGAGTGAAGCTCAGCTGATTCACATGATTGCCGCGCCTCAGCTGAGCTAAAAAAACGTTCAGGCAATTCACTGGCGTTGACAGAGGTCTGTATTTGAGCCCTGCGCATGTGAGTGAAGCTCAGCTGATTTCGTGCGATTGCCGTGCCTCAGCTGAGCTAAAAAAAAAACAGTTCAGGCAATTCACCGGCATTGACAGAGGTCTGTATTTGAGCCCTGTGCGCCGCGAGTGAAGCGCAGCTGATTCGCAAAATTGCCGTGCCTCAGCTGATCTAAGAATCAGTTCAGGAAATTCACTGGCATTGACAG